TATGTCGGTGTGATCTACGTGGTGATATGACAGTGTTATCTGCATGGTATGATATGTCGGTGTGATCTACGTTATGTGATATGCCAGTGTTATCTGCATGGTATGATATGTCGGTGTGATCTACGTTATGTGATATGCCAGTGTTATCTGCATGGTATGATATGTCGGTGTGATCTACGTTATGTGATATGCCAGTGTTATCTGCATGGTATGATATGTCGGTGTGATCTACGTTATGTGATATGCCAGTGTTATCTGCATGGTATGATATGTCGGTGTGATGATACGTTATGTTATGATGATATGCCAGTGTATATCTGCATGGTATGATATGTCTGGTGATGATCTACGTTATGTGATATGCCAGTGTTATCTGCATGGTATGATATGTCGGTGTGATCTACGTTATGTGATATGCCAGTGTTATCTGCATGGTATGATATGTCGGTGTGATCTACGTTATGTGATATGCCAGTGTTATCTGCATGGTATGATATGTCGGTGTGATCTACGTTATGTGATATGCCAGTGTTATCTGCATGGTATGATATGTCGGTTTGATCTACGTTATGTTATATGACAGTGTTATCTGCATGGTATGATATGTCGGTGTGATCTACGTTATGTGATATGACAGTGTTATCTGCATGGTATGATATGTCGGTGTGATCTACGTTATGTGATATGACAGTGTTATCTGCATGGTATGATATGTCGGTGTGATCTACGTTATGTGATATGACAGTGTTATCTGCATGGTATGATATGTCGGTGTGATCTACGTTATGTGATATGCCAGTGTTATCTGCATGGTATGATATGTCGGTGTGTCGCTATGTGATATGCCAGTGTTATCTGATGATATGTCGTTATCTATGATATGACAGTGTTATCTGCATGGTATGATATGTCGGTGTGATCTACGTTACGTGATATGCCAGTGTTATCTGCATGGTATGATATGTCGGTGTGATCTACGTTATGTGATATGCCAGTGTTATCTGCATGGTATGATATGTCGGTGTGATCTACGTTATGTGATATGCCAGTGTTATCTGCATGGTATGATATGTCGGTGTGATCTACGTTATGTGATATGCCAGTGTTATCTGCATGGTATGATATGTCGGTGTGATCTACGTTATGTGATATGCCAGTGTTATCTGCATGGTATGATATGTCGGTGTGATCTACGTTATGTGATATGCCAGTGTTATCTGCATGGTATGATATGTCGGTGTGATCTACGTTATGTGATATGCCAGTGTTATCTGCATGGTATGATATGTCGGTGTGATCTACGTTATGTGATATGCCAGTGTTATCTGCATGGTATGATATGTCGGTGTGATCTACGTTATGTGATATGACAGTGTTATCTGCATGGTATGATATGTCGGTGTGATCTACGTTATGTGATATGACAGTGTTATCTGCATGGTATGATATGTGACAGTGTTATCTGCATGGTATGATATGTCGATCTACGTTATGTGATATGCCAGTGTTATCTGCATGGTATGATATGTCGGTGTGATCTACGTTATGTGATATGCCAGTGTTATCTGCATGGTATGATATGTCGGTGTGATCTACGTTATGTGATATGCCAGTGTTATCTGCATGGTATGATATGTCGGTGTGATCTACGTTATGTGATATGCCAGTGTTATCTGCATGGTATGATATGTCGGTGTGATCTACGTTATGTGATATGCCAGTGTTATCTGCATGGTATGATATGTCGGTGTGATCTACGTTATGTGATATGCCAGTGTTATCTGCATGGTATGATATGTCATTGTGTGATCTACGTTATGTGATATGCCAGTGTTATCTGCATGGTATGATATGTCGGTGTGATCTACGTTATGTGATATGACAGTGTTATCTGCATGGTATGATATGTCGGTGTCGTTATGTGTGATCTACGTTATACGTTATGTTATATGCCGGTGTCATCTGCATGGTATGATATGTCGGTGTGATCTACGTTATGTGATATAACAGTGTTATCTGCATGGTGTGATATGTCGATGTGATCTACGTTATGTGATATGCCAGTGTTATCTGCATGGTATGATATGTCGGTGTGATCTACGTTATGTTATATGACAGTGTTATCTGCATGATATGATATGTCGATGATCGCCAGTGTTATCTGCATGGTATGTCGTGTATACGTTATGATATGACAGTGTTATCTGCATGGTATGATATGTCGGTGTGATCTACGTTATGTGATATGACAGTGTTATCTGCATGGTATGATATGTCGATGTGATCTACGTTATGTGATATGCCAGTGTTATCTGCATGGTATGATATGTCGGTGTGATCTACGTTATGTGATATGACAGTGTTATCTGCATGGTATGATATGTCGGTGTGATCTACGTTATGTGATATGCCAGTGTTATCTGCATGATATGATATGTCGATGTGATCTACGTTATGTGATATGCCAGTGTTATCTGCATGGTATGATATGTCGGTGTGATCTACGTTATGTGATATGACAGTGTTATCTGCATGGTATGATATGTCGGTGTAATCTACGTTATGTGATATGACAGTGATATCTGCATGGTATGATATGTCGGTGTGATCTACGTTATGTGATATGCCAGTGTTATCTGCATGGTATGATATGTCGGTGTGATCTACGTTATGTGATATGACAGTGTTATCTGCATGGTATGATATGTCGGTGTAATCTACGTTATGTGATATGCCAGTGTTATCTGCATGATATGATATGTCGATGTGATCTACGTTATGTGATATGACAGTGTTATCTGCATGGTATGATATGTCGGTGTAATCTACGTTATGTGATATGACAGTGTTATCTGCATGGTATGATATGTCGGTGTGATCTACGTTATGTGATATGCCAGTGTTATCTGCATGGTATGACATGTCGGTGTGATCTATGGGATATGCCATGTGTGTATCCTGCATAGCCTTGTTTGCCTGTGTGACATTTCTGATCTCCAATGTCATTTCTGACAAATATCAGGTGAGCTACAGGGCCTTCTTACTCTATGTTCCTTGACACAGATGAAGTCAACTACGCATACAATACCATAGCGTGGATGGTAACTTCCAACACTGCAACTGGCATAGTCGCCAGCAACATCACCGACACAGACAGGTCTACCTGTCACGTGATAACACAGGCCACCAATGTAACCACTACTGTCGACCTACAGCGACTGGTGGAGGCTAGGGACATATCACTCGTTATACCAGGTACATTCTTGGTTGCTTCCGTCGAATTACTCGAAGCTGATTGGTCAGTAAGGGCAGGTATGAATCAACGTTGAAACACGTAAATCACATGGACATAAAACATCAGCAGTAGAATGTTGTGTTAGTAAAAGCGATATACTTGACTTAATAAAAACGATATACTTGACTAAATAAAAGCGATATACTTGACTTAATAAAAGCGATATACTTGACTTAATAAAAGCGATATACTTGACTTAATAAAAGCGATATACTTGACTAAATAAAAGCGATATACTTGACTTAATAAAAGCGATATACTTGACTAAATAAAAGCGATATACTTGACTAAATAAAAGCGATATACTTGACTTAATAAAAAAGCGATATACTTGACTTAATAAAATGATATACTTGACTAATAAAAGCGATATAATTTGACTTAATAATAGTTGATATATATACTTGACTTAATAAAAGCGATATACTTGACTATATAAAAGCGATATACTTGACTTAATAATAGTGATATACTTGAGTTAATAAAGCGATAAACTTGAGTTAATAAAAGCGATATACTTGAGTTAATAAAAGCGATCTTGAGTAGGTAAAAGCGGCATACTTGAGTTACTCAAAGCGATATACTTGAGTTAATAAAAGCGATATAATTGAGTTGGTAAACGCGGCATACTTGAGTTAATACAAGTGATATACATGAGGTAATAAACGTAATATACTTGAGTTAATAAAAGCGATATACTTGAGTTAGTAAAAGCGATATACTTCACTTAATAAAACCAATATACTTGAGTTAATAAAAACGAGATACATGAGTTGATTGATAAAGGCGATATACTTGAGTTAATAAAAAGCGATATACTTGAGTTAGTAAAACGATATAATTGGGTTTGACTTTTATAAAAGAGATATACTTGAGTTAGTAAAAGAGATATACTTGAGTTAATAAAAGCGATATACATGAGTTACTAAAAGCGATATACTTGGGTTACTAAAAGTGACATACTTGAGTTAATAAAAGCGATATACCTGACTTAAAAAAGCGATATACTTAACTGATAATAGCGATATACTAGACTTAATAAGCGATATACTTGAGTTAATAAAAGCGATATACTTGAGTTAATAAAAGCGATATACTTGACTTAATAAAAGTGATATACTTGAGCTAATAAAAGCGATATAAATGAGTTAGTAAAAGCGGCATACTTGACTTAATAAAAGCGATATACTTGACTTAATAAAAGCGATATACTTGACTTAATAATAGCGATATACTTGACCTAATAAAGCGACATACTTGAGTTAGTTATGATACATATGTATCCAGAACCCTTTCCAAACTAATCCTAGGCTTGATCAAACAGATAGATTGTCAGCATTGTCTTAAATTTGAGATTGAATTCTAGCCTAGAACCATTTGTATCATCGTTCCTAGTGCTATGTGTATTGTTTCTTTCATATCTCATCTGGCTGTCACTACATTTGTCCCTGTTTAATGTTTCAGATGCTTCTAGCGCAGGGGTCAGGCTGACCGTCTCCATGTCCCTGGACAAGGAGGCCAAGAAGATATGTATGGAGTGGTCTCCGGGCGAGGATGCCTTAGAGGTGATACATCTCGACTGTCTTCAGCATCCGGTAGGCCAATACCTGCTGATCAAGGCGTCGTTCCTGGCTCCGAGGGACTTCCGGTTGTGTGACGTATGGGTCGGAGGTCGTATCTTTGACAAACGTGAGTTTCGTGTTTTGCAATGATGAGGTTGAAATGATAGTAAGGCATATATCTCGAGCCAAGGCAATGATGAGGTTGACATGATGGTAAGGCATATATCTCCAGCCAAGACAATGATGAGGTTGACATGAAGGTAAGGCATATGTCTCCAGCTAAGGCAATGATGAGGTTGCCATGAAGGTTAGGCATATGTCTCCAGCCCAGGAATTGATGAGGTTGACATGATGGTAAGGCATATGTCTCCAGCCAAGACAATGTTGAGGTTGAAATGGTGGTAAGGCATATGTCTCCAGCCAAGACAATGTTGAGGTTGACATGAAGGTAAGGTATATGTCTCCAGCCAAGGATGATGAGGTTGACATGAAGGTAAGGCATATGTCTCCAGCCAAGGCAATGATGAGGTTGACATGAAGGTAAGGCATATGTCTCCAGCCAAGGCAATGATGAGGGTTGACATGAAGGTAAGGCATATGTCTCCAGCCAAGGCAATGATGAAGGTTGACATGAAGGTAAGGCATATGTCTCCAGCCAAGGCAATGATGAGGTTGACATGAAGGTAAGGCATATGTCTCCAGCCTAAGGCAATGATGAGGTTGACATGAAGGTAAGGCATATGTCTCCAGCTAAGGCAATGATGAGGTTGACATGAAGGTAAGGCATATGTCATGATGATAAAGTATATCCAGCCAAGGCAATGATGAGGTTGACATGAAGGTAAGGCATATGTCTCCAGCCAAGGCAATGATGAGGTTGACATGAAGGTAAGGCATATGTCTCCAGCCAAGGCAATGATGAGGTTGACATGAAGGTAAGGCATATATCTCCAGCCAAGGCAATGATGAGGTTGACATGAAGGTAAGGCATATGTCTCCAGCCAAGGCAATGATGAGGTTGACATGAAGGTAAGGCATATGTCTCCAGCCAAGGCAATGATGAGGGTTGACATGAAGGTAAGGCATATGTCTCCAGCCAAGGCAATGATGGGGTTGACATGAAGGTAAGGCATATGTCTCCAGCCAAGGCAATGATGAGGTTGACATGAAGGTAAGGCATATGTCTCCAGCCAAGGCAATGATGAGGTTGACATGAAGGTAAGGCATATGTCTCCAGCCAAGGCAATGATGAGGTTGACATGAAGGTAAGGCATATGTCTCCAGCCAAGGCAATGATGAGGTTGACATGAAGGTAAGGCATATATGTCTCCAGCCAAGGCAATGATGAGGTTGACATGAAGGTAAGGCATATGTCTCCAGCCAAGGCAATGATGAGGTTGACATGAAGGTAAGGCATATGTCTCCAGCCAAGGCAATGATGAGGTTGACATGAAGGTAAGGCATATGTCTCCAGCCAAGGCAATGATGAGGTTGAAATGATGGTAAGGCATATATCTCCAGCCAAGGCAATGATGAGGTTGACATGAAGGTAAGGCATATGTCTCCAGCCAAGGCAATGATGAGGTTGACATGATGGTAAGGCATATGTCTCCAGCCAAGGCAATGATGAGGTTGAAATGATGGTAAGGCATATGTCTCCAGCCAAGGCAATGATGAGGTTGAAATGATGGTAAGGCATATGTCTCCAGCCAAGGCAATGATGAGGTTGACATGAAGGTAAGGCATATGTCTCCAGCCAAGGCAATGATGAGGTTGACATGAAGGTAAGGCATATGTCTCCAGCCAAGGCAATGATGAGGTTGACATGAAGGTAAGGCATATGTCTCCAGCCAAGGCAATGATGAGGTTGACATGAAGGGTAAGGCATATGTCTCCAGCCAAGGCAATGATGAGGTTGACATGAAGGTAAGGCATATGTCTCCAGCCAAGGCAATGATGAGGTTGACATGAAGGTAAGGCATATGTCTCCAGCCAAGGCAATGATGAAGTTGACATGAAGGTAAGGCATATGTCTCCAGCCAAGGCAATGATGTAAGGTTGACATGAAGGTAAGGCATATGTCTCCAGCCAAGGCAATGATGAGGTTGAAATGAAGGTAAGGCATATGTCTCCAGCCAAGGCAATGATGAGGTTGAAATGAAGGTAAGGCATATGTCTCCAGCCAAGGCAATGATGAGGTTGACATGAAGGTAAGGCATATGTCTCCAGCCAAGGCAATGATGAGGTTGACATGAAGGTAAGGCATATGTCTCCAGCCAAGGCAATGATGAGGTTGACATGAAGGTAAGGCATATGTCTCCAGCCAAGGCAATGATGAGGTTGACATGAAGGTAAGGCATATGTCTCCAGCAAGTCAATGATGAGGTTGACATGAAGGTAAGGCATATGTCTCCAGCCAAGGCAATGATGAGGTTGACATGAAGGTAAGGCATATGTCTCCAGCCAAGGCAATGATGAGGTTGACATGAAGGTAAGGCATATGTCTCCAGCCAAGGCAATGATGGGTTGACATGATGGTAAGGCATATGTCTCCAGCCAAGGCAATGATGGGGTTGACATGAAGGTAAGGCATATGTCTCCAGCCAAGGCAATGATGAGGTTGACATGAAGGTAAGGCATATGTCTCCAGCCAAGGCAATGATGAGGTTGACATGAAGGTAAGGCATATGTCTCCAGCCAAGGCAATTATGAGGCTGACATGAAGGTAAGGCATATGTCTCCAGCTAAGACGATGATGAAGTTGACATGAAGGTAAGGCATATGTCTCCAGCCAAGGCAATGATGAGGTTGACATGAAGGTAAGGCATATGTCTCCAGCCAAGGCAATTATGAGGTTGACATGAAGGTAAGGCATATGTCTCCAGCCAAGGCAATGATGAGGACATGAAGTTAAGGCATATGTCTCCAGCCAACCAGGCAATGATGAGGCTGACATGCGAGGTAAGGCATATGTCTCCAGCCAAGGCGATGATGCAGGTTGACATGAAGGTATCAGGCATATGTCTCCAGCCAAGGCAATGATGAGGTTGACATGAATCAACCAGGCACTGTATATCTCCAGCCACAAGGCAATTATGAGGTTGACATGAAGATAAGGCATATGTCTCCAGCTACAGGCGATGATGAGGTTGACATGAAGGTAAGGCATATGTCTTTAGCCAAGGCAATGATATCACCACCACACGGAGATCAACCAACCACTGTGACATGAAGGTAAGGCACTATGATCTCCAGCCAGGCAATGATGTGGTTGACCAACCATGAAGGTAAGGCATATGTCATCAGGAGATCAACCACCCACTGGATATCACCACCCACAGGGAGATCAAGCACCCACTGTGATATCCCACAGGGAGATCAAACAGGAGATCAACCACCCACTGCGATATCATCACCCATATCACCATCCACAGGAGACAGATTGATCACCCACAGGGAGATCAACCAATCCACTTCGCTTGATTATCCTTTATCCCAATGTAGTATCACAACTGGGGTAGCAGAAATATACTCATGTGAAGATTCGACCCCTACCCCGTATTTGCGATTATCGAGGCTACTGCACTGTTCCCTGCACAGCTGATTTAGCCTGAGTGATAAACACGGTCATACTTAGTTCCATGGATCGTCAGCCAAACCTCCCTTCACATTACGGATGGGCGGATCCCTGCTTAAATATATGAGTAACACTTCATATTGGTATGTGCGTACTTCTTTAATATCAAAATATATACCGTTGTTCACTGGAATAATCCTTACATGACTAAATTCAATATATATATGTTTTCTCGTATCACTAAAGCTATTTCAGGGAATTGAGCAAACGCGTGGTACGTCTTTGTAAAATGCGCGTGCATGCGTGCATGTATCTCTAGGTTCTGACTACTGAGTGTTATGTACGGACGTGTCTGTTTTCAGCCTACGAATGTGTCACGGAGTCCGGCTACAAGGGTAGTGTTAACGTCACCGTCATGGGCATCCCCTGTCAGCGCTGGGATGCCCAATCACCTCACACACACACCAGCGCTGATGCCCGTCTCCCGGACTACAGTTTAACTGAAGCCGCCAACAGATGTCGCTCCACGACTGATCGCCCAGCACCGTGGTGCTACACGACAGACCCCAGTGTGAGATCAGTACTGCCCAGCACCGTGGTGCTCAATCCGACCCTCTCTCCCTGGTCGACAGACAACGTCCATCGCCGGTGGTGCCACGGTCACGATGGTAACTCAGTACCCCTCTCCTCCTGGTCGAGTGATACAACGTCTGACTGTTGGTGGTCAGCTGTGGTAGGTAGCTCTCAGTCCGACCCTTCTTCTCCCTGGTCGAGTAGACGTCCGTCTGGTGGTACAACGTCCGCTGGTGGTCGGATGACCGGTGGTTCGAGTTCGAGCCACGGTCACGTCACGTATTTCAGCTGTGGTAGGTAACTCAGTACCTCTCCTCCCTGGTCGAGAGTAGATAACGTCTGTGGTGGGTACCGGTGGTCGAGCCACGGTCACGTCACTGTATTTCTAGGTAACTCTCAGTCCGACCCCTCTCCTCCCTGGTTGAGTAGATACAACGTCCGGCTGGTGGTCGGATGACCGGTGGTTCGAGCCACGGTCACGTCACTATATTTCAGCTGTGGTAGGTAACTCTCAGTCCGACCCCTCTCCTCCCTGGTCGAGTAGATACAACGTCCGGCTGGTGGTCGGATGACCGGTGGTTCGAGCCACGGTCACGTCACTGTATTTCAGCTGTGGTAGGTAACTCTCAGTCCGACCCCTCTCCTCCCTGGTCGAGTAGATACAACGTCTGGCTGGTGGTCGGATGACCGGTGGTTCGAGCCACGGTCACGTCACTGTATTTCAGCTGTGGTAGGTAACTCTCAGTCCGACCCCTCTCCTCCCTGGTCGAGTAGATACAACGTCTGGCTGGTGGTCGGATGACCGGTGGTTCGAGCCACGGTCACGTCACTATATTCCCCCGCCTGTCGCTCGGCGGGGTCATCTCGGACTTTTATACGGTGTCTGACAGGGATGTCCGCCTGCAACATGGCGCCTTATTTGGCTGGTACTAGGGATGTTTGTCATGACTAGTCCTGCTGATAACTACTGATATCTATTCATATTTCCTTCATCATATTTCAACATCTGTTATCCCAGTAAGATCCATGAAACCCACACAGTCAATAACGGTTACATTTGACACCGCTGTGTGTCCAACCTGTGCTTCATCAGTTTGGACCATGTAGAACCGGCGAGTTTTGGTAGAACTGAAGTCAGAACTACACTAGATACATTTGATCTATTTATAGATAGTGATACAAAGTAGTGCTTCTATCAAGCTGTCCTACCGATATATAATGAAGAAACATCAAGAATCTGGTCATTCCGGAAATGGAACCAATTCGGTTCATTCTACTTCCGGAATGACCCAGTCTGAGTTGTTCCTCCGACATATACCATATGGTTGATCTGTTATTTCTCAATATTTGTTAACATGGACTTACAGGTGCGTCAGATTGTGTTTGTATAAAATGGACGTTCAGAGTCGCTAATGAATTCCAGGCCCAGAATGAGCTGCAACGGTAACAGCGGGACGTCATCATAATGGGTTCTATAACAAGAATAAGGAGTTCTACATTGCTTGTACTTTGTTGTTTATGGTGACATTATTTGTTTGTCCGACAGAGTCCATGTGTCTGACGACAGCGACAGGTGTCTCGTACAACGGCAACGTGAGACACACGACCACCGGCAGTGCGTGTGTGTCGTGGGGCGACGCTGGCGTCCCCATTAAACAGGAGACACTCTTCCCTCAGTCGGCACGTTGGACACCGACCTGCAGGAACCCTGGCGAGACGCAGTCCCGACCGTGGTGCTACACAAGGTCAGATGCCACGACCTATGGCCAGTGTGACATACCTGTGTGCGGTATGTGGGCCCTTTACAGCTGCTACAATTATATTACCGCATGTACACGTGATAAGTGCATGGTCTAGATAGCATCAAATAATAAACGAATGGAAACGTGTTACACAACAACATTGTTGGATCCAGAGAGGGGGCAGGGGTTCGCCATATTGTCCTCGTGTCAACAGTGGCCAATTCGTAAATGTCCCAGCTACCTGTGTCAACAGTGACTTATAATTAACATGTGAACCTGTGTTTTGTCCTACTTGTGTCTACCGGTGTCGACAATTATTTTGGTCTACCCGTGTCTACCTGAGCATGACTTCACTATTTTGTTCTACCCGTGTCTACCTGAGGATACTGGATTCACTATTTTGGTCTACGTGTGTCTACCTGAGGACGCTGGCTTCACTATTTTGTTCTACCTATGTCTACCTGAGGACGCTGGCTTCACTATTCTGTTCTACGTGTGTCTACCTGAGGACGCTGGCTTCACTATTTTGTTCTACCTATGTCTACCTGAGGACGCTGGCTTCACTATTCTGTTCTACCTATGTCTACCTGAGGACGCTGGCTTCACTATTCTGTTCTACGTGTGTCTACCTGAGGACGCTGGCTTCACTATTCTGTTCTGCGTGTGTCTACCTGGAGATCGCTGGCTTCACTATTTTGTTTTGCCTGTGTCTACCTGGTATTTCAAATATTTCAAAGTATAAAAGACGAGCATCACGTGTTTCCGTCATTATCGTCAAATATCATATTTCATATTACTTTTCTTGCAGCTCGATAACTTGGGAAATCAGTTGATTTCGTTGTTTATAAGCCAAAGTGGGGCTTCTTCAGCTGAAAACTGCTCAAAGACGTCAAGTTATTACAAGAGTAATCCATCGACATCAAACATCAACAGATTCATGACTTTAAGGTGGCTGCCAGCGTTCAGGTGGACCACGAGTGATAACTCCGAGTCAGGTTCAGGTGGACCACGAGTGATAACTCCGACTCAGGTTCAGGTGGACCACCAGTGATAACTCCGAGTCAGGGTTCAGTGATAACTCCGACTCAGGGTTCAGGTGGACCACAGCTTTCAGGTGGACCAGGTTCAGGTGGACCAGAGTGACTCCGAGACTCGAGAGTCAGGTTCAGGTGGACCACGAGTGTGTTCATAACTCACGACTCAGGTTCAGGTGGACCACGAGTGATAACTCCGAGTCAGGTTCAGGTGGACCACGAGTGATAACTCCGAGTCAGGTTCAGGTGGACCACGAGTGATAACTCCGAGTCAGGTTCAGGTGGACCACGAGTGATAACTCCGAGTCAGGTTCAGGTGGACCACGAGTGATAACTCCGACTCAGGTTCAGGTGGACCACGAGTGATAACAGGTGGACCACGAGATAACTCAGGTTCAGGTGGACCACGAGAGATGACTAACCGAGTCAGGTTCAGGTGGACCACCAGTGATAACTCCGAGTCAGGTTCAGGTGGACCACGAGTGATAAGGTTCAGGTGGACCACGAGTGATAACTCCGACTCAGGTTCAGGTGGACCACGAGTGATAACTCCGAATCAGGATACAACACCAGGCAGGAGCACAACACATCATTCGTCCATGTGTTGTGTTGAAAATAGACTGGCTTCCACGTCGTCATTTGTCCAACAGAACGGTCCGACAATCGGCCGGGTATAGAGCCAGACGACCTATCAGACGTCCGTTGTTATTCCCCGACTACCTTGGTGTCAAGCTCAACGTCCCTGGAATATGGTCCACTGGTCGGACGAAAGTCGATCACCTTTGTTCAAGACCGAGTTTGTGCTGCAGACACACTGCATGTGCACAACGGAATATCTTAGAGCAGGTACCCTGTGGTGGGGGTTCATGGATGGTGTGGGGTCCCTCTCACATGAATGGAAACATGACTTTGTGACGATCAGACAAAATCGGCATGGACAACGGTACATCACTGACATCCTAGACAGGGTTGCTGTACCACATTTTATTTTCTAAACACAAAGCAAGTTTTCATGGACGTGTCATGAAGGGGTGTCATTGCAGTTGGCGGGTGTTCCTCCAGATATTGTGCTCGGTTACTGATGCTTATATAACGTCCTGAGGATTGTATTCCAGAATCTTGAAAAGGACTGCACTTGTCATACGACCGTTATCAACACTACAAATTCATTCAGTGTGTTTGCCAAGTGTGGTTTCTGATTAAAAGTGAAGTTTTTCGTTCTTTTTGCGTTCAGATTTGCCACTTAGCTATTCCTTGCGGGTCAGGTTATCCACATAGTACGTTGAATTGAGGCTTGGATAATTTCCTTTAATGATGCTGTGAAATATGGGGAGTTGCAGTACGTTTTTCCATGTGCATATTTAGCAATATAAGGGGATATTATTCCATGTAATCCAAAAATGTTGAAAATATGATCTTGCACCTCTACATCCAAGTAATTTCCCATGCCAGGTGCTGCAGCCACGCCTACCTACAAATACTGGGCAGTGAACGACACCCACGACTTCCAGGACATGTCTACTGTAGAGGAATGCTTTGTGTGGAATAACTTCTTCGATGGTCACACAAATGACGGCAGTTGGTCTGGGGCCAAGACTCCCTTCCGAGTTTCCGGCGTCCCAAGTAAGGAGCAAGTTTGTAGGAAGGGACAGACGTACGTTGCTACGATTGCATGCTGGGAATATGGCCGCCATGGAGAGCACATCATCATCCTGGGCATCGCGGACTGTGGTAAGTCACCACAGTACTGGTTTACAGGGAGGACTGTGGTAAGTCACCACAGTACTGGTTTACAGGGAGGACTGTGGTAAGTCATCAGTGTAACTGGTTTATATGGCCGACTGTGGTAAGTCATCAGTGTAACTGGTTTATATGACGGACTGTGGTAAGTCATCAGTGTAACTGGTTTATATGGCCGACTGTGGTAAGTCATCAGTGTAACTGGTTTATATGGCCGACTGTGGTAAGTCATCAGTGTAACTGGTTTATATGGCGGACTGTGGTAAGTCATCAGTGTAACTGGTTTATATGACGGACTGTGGTAAGTCATCAGTGTAGCTGTTATCTATGACCGACTGTAGTAAGTCATCAGTGTAACTGGTTTATATGGCCGACTGTGGTAAGTCATCTGTGTAACTGGTTTATAGGACGGACTGTGGTAAGTCATCAGTGTAACTGGTTTATAGGACGGACTGTGGTAAGTCATCAGTGTAGCTGTTTTATATGGCGGACTGTGGTAAGTCATCAGTGTAACTGGTTTATATGACGGACTGTGGTAAGTCATCAGTGTAGCTGTTTTATATGGCCGACTGTGGCAAGTCACCAGTGTAACTGGTTTATATGACCGACTGTGGTAAGTCATCTGTGTAACTGGTTTATATGACGGACTGTGGTAAGTCACCAGTGTAGCTGTTTTATATGGCGGACTGTGGTAAGTCACCAGTGTAACTGGTTTATATGGCCGACTGTGGTAAGTCATCAGTGTAACTGGTTTATATGACGGACTGTGGTAAGTCATCAGTGTAGCTGTTTTATATGGCCGACTGTGGTAAGTCATCAGTGTAACTGGTTTATATGACGGACTGTGGTAAGTCATCAGTGTAACTGGTTTATATGACGGACTGTGGTAAGTCATCTGTGTAACTGGTTTATATGACGGACTGTGGTAAGTCACCAGTGTAACTGGTTTATATGGTGGACTGCGGTAAGTCACCGGTGTACTGGTTTATATTGCGGACTGTGGTAAGTCATCAGTGTAACTGGTTTATATGGCCGACTGTAGTAAGTCATCAGTGTAACTGGTTTATATGACGGACTGTGGTAAGTCACCAGTGTAACTAGTTTATATGACGGACTGTGGTAAGTCATCAGTGTAGCTGTTTTATATGGCCGACTGTGGTAAGTCATCAGTGTAACTGGTTTATATGACGGACTGTGGTAAGTCATCAGTGTAACTGCTTTATATGGCCGACTGTGGCAAGTCACCAGTGTAACCGGTTTATATGACCGACTGTGGTAAGCCATCTGTGTAACTGGTTTTATATGACGGACTGTGGTAAGTCACCAGTGTAACTGGTTTATATGGCCGACTGTAGTAAGTCATCAGTGTAACTGGTTTATATGGCCGACTGTTGTAAGTCATCTGTGTAACTGGTTTATAGGACGGACTGTGGTAAGTCACCAGTGTAACTGGTTTATATGACGGACTGTGGTAAGTCATCGGTGTACTGGTTTATATGGCGGACTGTGGTAAGTCATCAGTGTAACTGGTTTATATGGCCGACTGTAGTAAGTCATCAGTGTAACTGGTTTATATGGCCGACTGTTGTAAGTCATCTGTGTAACTGGTTTATAGGACGGACTGTGGTAAGTCACCAGTGTAACTGGTTTATATGGTGGACTGTGGTAAGTCATCGGTGTACTGGTTTATAAAGGACGGACTGTGGTAAGTCATCAGTGTAACTGGTTTATATGGCGGACTGTAGTAAGTCATCAGTGTAACTGGTTTATATGGCCGACTGTTGTAAGTCATCTGTGTAACTGGTTTATAGGACGGACTGTGGTAAGTCACCAGTGTAACTGGTTTATATGACGGACTGTGGTAAGTCATCAGTGTAGCTGTTTTATATGGCCGACTGTAGTAAGTCATCAGTGTAACTGGTTTATAGGACGGACTGTTGTAAGTCATCAGTGTAGCTGTTTTATATGGCCGACTGTGGCAAGTCACCAGTGTAACCGGTTTATATGACCGACTGTGGTAAGTTACCAGTGTAACTGGTTTATAGGACGAACTGCGGTAAGTCATCGGTGTAACTGGTTTATATGGCCGACTGTGGTAAGTCACCAGTGTAACTGGTTTATATGGCAGACTGTGGTAAGTCATCAGTGTACCTGGTTTATAGGACAGACTGGGGTAAGTCATCAGTGTAGCTGTTATATATGGCCGACTGTAGTAAGTCATCAGTGTAACTGGTTTATATGGCGGACTGTGGTAAGTCATCAGTGTAACTGGTTTATATGGTGGACTGTGGTAAGTCATCGGTGTACTGGTTTATATGGCGGACTGTGGTAAGTCATCAGTGTAACTGGTTTATATGGCCGACTGTAGTAAGTCACCAGTGTAACCGGTTTATATGACCTACTGAGGTAAGTCATCTGTGTAACTGGTTTATATGGCCGACTGTGGTAAGTCATCAGTGTAACTGGTTTATATGACGGACTGTGGTAAGTCATCAGTGTAACTGGTTTATATAACGGACTGTCGTAAGTCATCTGTGTAACTGGTTTATATGACGGACTGTGGTAAGTCACCAGTGTGACTGGTTTATATGGTGGACTGTGGTAAGTCACCAGTGTAACTGGTTTATATGACTGACTGTAGTAAGTCATCAGTGTAGCTGTTTTATATGACGGACTGTGGTAAGTCATCAGTGTAACTGGTTTATATGACGGACTGTGGTAAGTCATCAGTGTAACTGGTTTATATGGCCGACTGTGGCAAGTCACCAGTGTAACCGGTTTATATGACCGACTGTGGTAAGTTATCTGTGTAACTGGTTTATATGACGGACTGTGGTAAGTCATCAGTGTAGCTGTTTTATATGGCCGACTGTGGTAAGTCATCAGTGTAACTGGTTTTATATGACGGACTGTGGTAAGTCATCAGTGTAACTGGTTTATATAACGGACTGTCGTAAGTCATCTGTGTAACTGGTTTATATGACGGACTGTGGTAAGTCACCAGTGTGACTGGTTTATATGACGGACTGTGGTAAGTCATCGGTGTAACTGGTTTATATGACGGACTGTGGTAAGTCATCAGTGTAACTGGTTTATATGGCCGACTGTAGTAAGTCATCAGTGTAACTGGTTTATATGGCCGACTGTTGTAAGTCATCAGTGTAACTGGTTTATATGACGGACTGTGGTAAGTCACCAGTGTAACTGGTTTATATGACGGACTGTGGTAAGTCATCAGTGTAGCTGTTTTATAATGGCCGACTGTGGTAAGTCATCAGTGTAACTGGTTTATAGGACGGACTGTGGTAAGTCATCAGTGTAACTGGTTTATATGACGGACTGTGGTAAGTCATCAGTGTATCTGGTTTATATGACGGACTGTGGTAAGTCACCAGTGTAACTGGTTTATATGGTGGACTGTGGTAAGTCATCGGTGTAACTGGTTTATATGGCGGACTGTGGTAAGTCATCAGTGTAACTGGTTTATATGGCCGACTGTGGTAAGTCATCAGTGTAACTGGTTTATATGGCCGACTGTGGCAAGTCAACAGTGTAACTGGTTTATATGACCGACTGTGGTAAGTCACCAGTGTAACTGGTTTATAGGACGGACTGTGGTAAGTCATCAGTGTAACTGGTTTATATGACCGACTGTGGTAAGTCATCAGTGTACTGGTTTATATGGCGACTGTGGTAAGTCATCGGTGTAACTGGTTTATATGACGGACTGTGGTAAGTCATCTGTGTAACTGGTTTATATATGACGGACTGTGGTAAGTCACCAATGTAACTGGTTTATATGGCCGACTGTTGTAAGTCACCAGTGTAACTGGTTTATATGGCCGACTGTTGTAAGTCACCAGTGTGTAACTGGTTTATATGGCCGACTGTGGTAAGTCATCAGTGTAACTGGTTTATATGGCCGACTGTGGTAAGTCATCAGTGTAACTGGTTTATATGGCCGACTGTTGTAAGTCACCAGTGTAACTGGTTTATATGACGGACTGTGGTAAGTCATCAGTGTAACTGGTTTATATGACGGACTGTGGTAAGTCATCAGTGTAACTGGTTTATATGACGGACTGTGGTAAGTCATCAGTGTAACTGGTTTATATGGCGGACTGTGGGTAAGTCATCAGTGTAACTGGTTTATAGGACGGACTGTGGTAAGTCATCAGTGTAACTGGTTTATATGACGGACTGTGGTAAGTCATCAATGTAGCTGGTTTATATGGCGGACTGTTGTAAGTCACCAATGTAACTGGTTTATATGACGGACTGTGGTAAGTCATCAGTGTAACTGGTTTATATGGCCGACCGTGGTAAGTCATCTGTGTAACTGGTTTATAGGACGGACTGTGGTAAGTCATCAATGTAACTGGTTATATATGGCCGACTGTTGTAAGTCACCAATGTAACTGGTTTATATGGCCGACTGTTGTAAGTCACCAGTGTAGCTGTTATATATGTACCGACTGTGGTAAGTCATCAGTGTAACTGGTTTATATGGCCGACTGTGGTAAGTCATCAGTGTAACTGGTTTATATGGCCGACTGTTGTAAGTCACCAGTGTAACTGGTTTTATATGACGGACTGTTGTAAGTCATCACTGTAACTGGTTTATATGGCCGACCGTGGTAAGTAATAAGTGTAACTGTTTTATATGGCGGACTGTGGTAAGGCACCAGTGTAACTGGTTTATATGGCAGACTGTGGTAAGTCATCAGTGTAACTGGTTTATATGGCGGACTGTTGTAAGTCACCAGTGTAACTGGTTTATATGGCAGACTGTGGTAAGTCATCAGTGTAACTGGTTTATAGGACAGACTGTGGGAAGTCATCAGTGTAACTGGTTTATATGACGGACTGTGGTAAGTCATCAGTGTAACTGGTTTATATGGCGGACTGTGGTAAGTCATCAGTGTAACTGGTTTATATGACGGACTGTGGGAAGTCATCTGTGTAACTGGTTTATAGGACGGACTGTTGTA